ATGCTCTCTGTGAAAGCCTGAGAGAACGTTTTCCCTCCATGTGACTCTCCTTAGGCACACTGCACATCATCAATCACTTTCCTCTTTGGCCCCATAATTGCCTTGATCAGAAAATTTGGGACACTACTGAGTTACATGGTGTTACAGTACAAGTTCTCATATGTCCTGAGTCTTAATTGACCTTGGAAGGCTAGGGCCAAAATGTTGGCTTTCCTTGCGGCCCTCCTTTGGAGAAAAATATTGAGTGCTAATTACTTTAGATAAAAATACTTACGAGACACAGCCAAAAAATGCAATGTGAAGAATCTGTTTAGATCCTGATTTGAATACACCAACCATGAAGAAAGCACAACCCTGAGGAAATCTGAACACTGATTCTATATTTGGGGATATTAAGGAATTAATCTTAATTTTTCTTGCTATGATAATGGTTTTATGGTATGCTTTTTTTGATAGTCCTTATCATTTAAAGACATATTAAAATACACACAGATGAAATGATAGTATCATTGAGATTTGCTTTAAAATAATCCTGCAGAACAAGAGGGGGTTGGAAACACACAAGTTAATGAATTAAGATGGGTCACAGGCTGAAAACCATTGAAGCTGAGTCCTGTGCTATTTTCTCTCAAAGCATGTATTGGGTACATGTCTGCACTTATGTTTGAAATGTTTCATAGTTAATGTTCAATGCCTTAGCTGGGTGTGTTCATGGCTGTAAACTCAGTAATAAGGAGACTGAGGTAGAAGGATCACTGTGAGTTTGAGCCAGACTGGAATATATAGTGAGATCCTGTCTCACAGAAAGAAGGAAGGAAGGAAGGAAGGAAGGAAGGAAGGAAGGAAGGAAGGAAGAAAGGAAGGAAGAAAAAAGAAGGAAAGATTAAAAATATGTAATGAAGGCCTATGCAGATTTATAATTTCTAATTCTATGTAAGGGGAAGCTAGGCCCAGAGAAGTTTCACTTCCCACAACTGAGAACATTATGAGAAACTGGATAATTTTAAAGACTAGCGACATTTAGACATTAAAAAAAAAAAAAAAAAAAAAAAAAGTCCATTCTACCATTTCTTTACTCTAAATTAGGGTAAAGAATACTTGAGACATTTAATTGTGCTCTTAAGAAAATTAAAACAAAATGTCATTCTTTGAGTACAAAAGCCTAAAGACTCTCACAGAAGAAAAGATAGACTGAATTAATTCTGAAAATCAAATAAATTTTAAATTTTACAATCAAGATTCACACATTTGAAGAGCATCTAGGTAGACTGCTTCTCTGATTATATTACAATCATATGATTTATTTTTCCTAACAAAAATTTTAAATCGGCTGGGGAGATGGCTCAGTAGAATAACTGCTTTCCTGGCAAGCACAAGGGCCTGAGTTCAATCCCTAGCTTTGCCAAAAAAAAAAAAAAAAAGCCTCCTAAAAAAAAAAAATTAAATCACTAAGGGGAGAAACAATATGCTATATTTTTATAACTCTCCAATGACTCTAGGTTTGCAATATGGACCAAAAGGAAGTGTTTTAACTTTAATAAGCATTAAACATTTACATGTAGATTATATGGTCTTTCAGTATGAAAGTTAACAGTTTATCAAGCTTACTTGGTAGACATTACACCAAAACTTTCAGCCAATCAAGTAATATTCTTATGCTATAATTATCACAGCAATCCTATCAGCATCATATAATAGAGAGGAATTAAGAACTGAATAAATGGGGGCCAAGGAGATAGCTCAGTAGAATAAGCGCTTCCTTAAGAAGCGCAAGGGTCTGAGTTCAATCCCCAGTTACGCAAAAAAACAAAACAAAACAAACTGAATAAAGTAAAAACTAAACAGGAAAAAAGTACATGTACTTAAAGATGAAACAAAAGCATTTCTATTAAAGCCAAGAACACGAGATCCAGCCCTAGCCCAAGCCCAGTGAGTGTGTGGGAGAGCTTTCGGCTACCCTGTGCCCGCATCGGGACCTGTGTGGTCCAAGCCCAGGCGCAGCATGGGTGAGACCCTCTTCCACCCCCATGGAAACCTCACCACCACTCTGTGCCCCCCCCCACTCCCGCCTAGTGAGTGAGAACTTCTGCCACGTTCTCAGGACCCCGAGATCCAGCCCTAGCCCAGACCTGGTGAGTGTGTGGGAGAGCTTCCTCTCCCCTCTACTCCACCTTGTCCCCTTCAGACTCAGCTCAGGCCTGGCACACAGGCCTGGGGTGAAACTCTGCAGCTACAGTCCCTGCAGAGAGAGTAGGGGACAGAATCACCCAGCTAGTCCAGGAGCAGAACATCTTGCCAGAGAGGCACAACAGTTTCACTCCCAAGGGTGGCAACAGGAAGGAGCTGAGCACAGCAGCCAGACCCAAGCCAGGCACAACTGGATAAATTCAAACTTTGTAGATATGCACCTGAATTTCAGTAGGTGCTAAGGTTATAATTGCACCAAAGCTCTACAACAAAGATCAGAAGACAGTGCTATACAAAATGACGACGAGAAGGAGCAAAATGCAATCTCAGACCCCAAGCCCACCCATAACAAGTGCAGAGGACACTAACACAGAACAAATTGGGAATCACACAGCTGAAATCAATGAATCAATAGCTTCTGAAATAAAGAAACAGCTGCAAAAAGGTAGAGAGGAACTCAGATTGGAAATGAAAAAAGAAATCCCTGAGTTAATAGCTTCTGCAGTAAAGAATCAAAGGCAGAAACATATGGAGGATCTTTAAAATAATAAAATAACTATGACTCAAAAAAAAAAAAAAAAAAAGAAACATATGGAGGAAACCTAATGCCCACCCAGAACAAGTGCAGAGGACACTAGCTCAGCTGAAATGCATGAATTAATAGCATCAAAAGTAAATAAAGCCAAAAACACACAATAAATATGCCTGTTACCACTGTTACTATTTAACACTGTTCCAAAAGTATGCTAATTTATTAAAAAATGGGCCAGGTCTGATGGTGCACCCCTATAATCCCAGCACTCAGGAAGCTGAGGCAGGAGGAATATAGTGAGTTTAAGACCAGCCTGGGCTACAAAGTAAGCTCAAGGCCAGTATGAACTGCATAACAAGACCCAGTCTGTGGCAGAGACACAATTATCACTATGTTTTTGTTCCTGAGATAGTGGCTCCCTGTACTGCCCAGGCTGGCCTCAAACTCCTGGACTCAAGTGATGCTCATGCTTCAGCCTCCCAAGTAGCTAGGATTAGAGCCAAGTACTATACTACCATAAACAGCTATGGCATCACTTTTTGTAATAAAATTTCAACTTGGAAAAAAAAAAACTAAGAGACTCTTCTGAAAACTGTTAAATGCTAATGAAAGTTCAGTTTGCTGGTATAGCTGTAAAAGAAATATACAGTTTTATACGTACTTTAATAACAAATCAGAAAATATATTGAAAACAAAAAATATAAAATACCTAGTAATACATTTAATAATAATACAGAAGACCACTCTTCTGCTGATGGAAATACAATGAATTAGGTACCCTAAAGGGCTATCTTATTACAGCCAAACTATAAATAAACAAGAGACACTTTCTAGGGTATCCTGGGCTCTCAAAAACTCAGGGGAAATCAACTGGTGGAAGATAGAAGAGATGAAAGGGACAGTGCATTAAAGCAAGGAAAAGGGAAACCAAGAGTGATGTGTTAGAAAGAAATGTCAGTATACATAACAGGACTGTGGCCTGGGGAGATAGCACAGAGATCTAAGTGTCTGTGTGATGGTGCGGGACTGTAATCCCAGTGATGGGGAGGCTGAGGCAGGAGGACCACTATGAGTCCAAGCTGCAGTAGCGAGACCCTGTACCAACTAACTGAATGAATAAATGAATGATTTTTAAAATATAGATAAGGGCCAGCGAGATAGCTCAGCAAACCAATCATGTGCCTGCTTTAGGCAAGCGCAAGAACCCTTTTGATCCCTGGGACCACATGCCGCACTGCCCCCACCCCAGGTGTGGGCACACTGAACTGGCAGAGACTGGGTGTGATGGTGCAGGCCTCTAATCCTAGCAGTGGGGAGGCTGAAAACAGGAGGAGCGCTCCGAGTCAAAACAAAACCTGTTTCATAACAAAATTTACATGACACAGGTGGCATTCTGTAAACACATTCGCATGCAAAACAATATCCAGAACATGCTACAAAACAGTACACTGTGGAGTATCAAATGTTACTCGTGATTCCATGGCTGGGTGGAAGTTGCAGCTTGCTGCCACCCTGCTGCAGTTCTGGCAAAGTATGATGCCACATAACTGCTAGCCCAGGAGAAGAGCAAAATACAATAACTGCAGTGCAGTGTAGCTTCAACTGAATGCCTCTAGTGTTCCTACCACCGAAGAGCTGGAAATCCTCAGCCAAACCATCTTGACTGAAGACCATATTCATTCTCTCCAAAGTTTTCTGTCATCTAAAAGGGCTCTGAGTGTTCTAGAAACTTGGTAGAATTCATATGAAAGTACAGAAAATGTAGCTTTGTACAGAAGCAAAAGATAAAAAAGTAAAGAATCCCAGAGAGTTAAAAGGTATTTGTTGGATCACGTGAGTAGAAAACAAAAGTGTAAGAAGCTGAAGAACTTAGTAAGACAGAAAGAGGAAAGGTTAGGGAAATCACCTCTCCCTTTGGCCCTCACGAGCCTCCTCACATGTTCCAGGGTTCAGTGTTCCTACTATAGCTATTGGTGCAAGTGTTAGCCAAGTTCTTTTAGCTGGAAGATGAATGGTAAAGCTCTTTGGCTGCACAGTGAAATATCTGACTGGTTTCTCCACAGGAAGAATGAAGTTACTGCTGACTGTCTACTCATGTCTACCCTACACCACACTCAAGGTACATGTCAGGAGTGTCACAGACTGGGCTGGCAATGTAACTCCGGGGAAGTACACTTGCCCTAGAATGGTGGAGGCCCTGGGCTGCATCCCCAGCATGGGGATCAAAGGGGCCAAAGACAACAAATGAAAACAAATAAACTGGACTTTAAGAAGACCATACCTGTTTTAGGCCATAAGGCATTGACTGCAATTTCACCTTTAAATTCTTCTGCCATTCCCAACACACACATAGACATACCATACTTAGCAATGGTATAAGCTGAAAGAAACCACAAAGAATAATAATTTGAGAAACAAATTAATTTGTGAATAGAAACAACCAACTTCTTTCTATCTTCTCCCTGACACTTTTTTTTTGGGGGGGATGGTACCAGGCATCAAACTCAGGACCTTGCTCTTGCCAGGCAGACACTGTGCCACTGGGCTACATCCTCAGCCCTTCTCCCTGACATATTTTTGAGAATTCATTTTAATAACATAAAAAGCTAATAATAATAATAATAACATAAAAAGCACAAACTGTTATTTTAAAATGTGTTGAGTTTTTGACAGGGCACCGTGGTGTACACCATAATTCCAGCACTCAGGAGGCTGAGGCTAGAGGATCACTGTGAGTCCAAGACCAGCCTAGGCTACAAAGTGACCTCAATGTCAGCCTGAACTGTACAGTGAGACCCTGTCTCAAAAAGGAAAAAAAAAAAGTTTTTATGGAAGTAATTAGACAGGCATGAGCCAATTTTTTATATTCTCATATTTGATTAAAAGGAAAAGTAATAAGTTTTCATTTTTCTTAATACTATGGTAAATAACACTATTGATTCCTCATCTGTCTTCTCATTTTAAAGAATGAAAGCTTATTGCCAACAACACAAATTAAAAGAGAATGAAAGTGATTATTTAAAGAAACTACTGTCAGTAAAATCCTGTGGTTTATTTAGTAGGGTATGTGTTTAACATGCACAAGGTCCTAGGTTTGATCCCCAGTAATGCATAACTAAATACACAAATAAGTAAATAAATAAATAGCAACAACAACAACAAAAAGGTGAAGACTGGGCATGGTAGTGCATTCTTGTTATCCTGTCTGTGGCAGGAAGACTGCAAGTTTGAGGCCAACCAGGTAGATACAAATACCTCCACCTAGGAACTTAATAAGACATGTCTAAAAGTGAAGTAAAAAAGGGCTCTTAGGTTTCTGAGAGTGCTTGCCTAGCACATGCAAGGACCTAGGTCCAAGTACCAGCAAAACTTTCAGTTTTGTGTAAGAAGTTCTCACCACAAGCACCCTTCCAAAGGCTGGTAAATTGTACTAAAATAAGAACTAAGTATCTGATACAGTGATTTTAAAGAAGCACCCATACGTAAATCTTTTTACTTACCATACTTGCCTTACTTAAAATCATTTCGCTATGAAAAGTAAAATATTTCATCGATAATTTTTAACTGTATGAAAGAATAAGTCACATATGATAAAACACACCTGCCGAGACATCAAAGAGCTTTCTGAAATGATGTAAATCCCTAAGTTAATTTGAGTAATACTTACACAAGTACGTATATACATTTGTCAAATTTGATTAAACTTAACCAGGAATATCTGTGTATTTTACCGAAAGTAAACTATACCTTAATTTTTATTATAAGCAAATGATTATCTGAAATTTCCAAATTTTACTTACTGAAAATTCAAAACTGTCTACTGTGTATAGATTGTGATTATATAATGGATATACTGATTTAATTCAAAACAGATTTAAAAAACAAAGCGCCTCCTCATCCTACTACGTACCACAGTGCTGTTTGAACCACATTGGATTTAAATTCAGTGGTGGGCTGAGATTAAGGATATGAGCAATTTTACTCTTTTTCAAAAAAGGAACACATGCTTTAGATCTGAAAACAAAAGAAAATGTAAGTTAATTCTTAGTTTGAAGAATTTCTTCCCAACCCTAAGTTACACTTTAAATTACTCTTCCATAGTAACTATACTTCATCTAGCAATCGATACTTGCTTACTTTTGTTTGTACAGTAGTTTTGTTTGTTTTTCTAGAATGAAGATAGGAAAGGCAACTAACTTTCATGTTTTGAAACTTTACTTAATAGCCTGACTATAAGATCTGCTTTAACAAATCAAATCCTTGATAGAGCAGCATTATGCCCAACCAAGGTTCTCCTCAACCATAACAGTTCCCAATTCTCCCTCCATAACAGATTCAGAACTTCTAAAATGGCTACTGTACTAGTCAGTCCGCAGTGCTATAGAACATGGGTGTTCAATACAGATCTGGATTAAAATCCTGCTTCTGCCCCTTCAGTATGTGATCTTGGGCAAATTTTATAACTTATTTGTTGTCTTAGTTTTCTCCTCCATAAATGTTGGTAATATGCACTACCATCTAGAATTGGGCAAAGGATTAAAATGAGACAACACAGTTGAGATACTTAGGACAGTGCATATACACTAAACATGAAATCAATTATTGCTCTCATAGTGTTACAACTTCACCTCCAAAAACATAACACAGAACTCCAGAGCTCTAATTTAGTAATGTAACTTTCAATATATTCCCAAATTTAATTTGTACCAATACAAAATCCAATATGCCCTTAGGAATAATACATAATTTCATTTTTTAAACCTACTCATAAAGGTAGGTAATTTATAAAAGATAAAATAGTGTCCAACATTTTTTTAAAAATCTAAGTATTAAATTATAACATATTATAGTGTAAATATTTCATAGCTTTATTTTATACTGAAAGACAACTAGGATTTTAAGCTAGTCTCTTCATCCTTCAAGTCAGTTTTATCCAAATATATAACACTCAGATCACTAAGGCCAACATCAGGCCAGAGACAAACACAGCTCAGTGGCATAGTGCCTGCCTGGCAAGCACAAGGTTCTGAATTTGATTTCTGATACAAGAAAAAAAAAAAAAAAAAAAAAAAAAAAAAAAAAAAAAAAAAAAACCACAAAACCCACAAACCAATGCCAACATCTTTTCAACCTAACAAACCAAATACAATCAATACAGGTTTTTGTATTCACTGTTTTTCATCTCCAAACATGCCTCACCTCTACTAGAGTGAAGGGCAGAGGGGCAAGCCATACCATAGCGGATTTTTATTAAAACAGTGAACTTGTACCTTCAAAGCATCCAGAGGACATAGACTAAATGTATTCCAGACAATGAGACCATGTTCTACACTCTAAGGGATGAGCTCATTTCATTCACAATATAATTATGAGCTTTCCCTGTATCTACAGGCAGAAGCTTCCTATTTGCACGTTGTCCAGTCTGGCCCTCAACACTCTAGTACTAACCTGAGATCAAGTGTGTCTTTCAAAGCAATAAGCAATCCTTTCTATACTTTGTCAAAATCTTCAGTACCACACTTAGATACAAATTCCTCCAGCTTTATGAAGTGGCTGAGCTTCCTGATAGATTTGCAAACTGCACTGCCAATTTGGTTCACATCCATTTACAACTAGGTAAGATCTCCGAGAATACTCCGGGGCATTCTCCCTCATAACTCTTCCTCTTGACTCACGTAAGGTAGGTGCCTCTGGTGTTCACACTCATCATCAAATCCACCTTCTTTGTAGGTGTTTCCATTGTGTTGGTCAAGGAAATAGCACTGGCATTGTTCACCAAAATGTCAATTCCTGTTACCAAAGTAATTAGATTTTAAATATGTAAGACTTTTTTCACACATATACAAGTAAATGTATTTAGTCTATTTCACTGAACCTTCAGTTGATTCTCAAACGCTTCTTTTATAGAATAAGACTGAGCAATACACTACTGCAAGTCTCAGTAGCTGTCCCTAAATAGCAACCACAGCTAGGTATGGCTATACATGCCAGAATATTGGTATTCAGGAGAGTGAGGAAGGAGGATTGCTGAGAGTGAGTTCAAGGCCAAGCAGGGCAACTAGCAACTTAAAAAGATCCTGTCTCAATTTTTTTTTTTTCCTTGTGGCCAGCTCAGCCCACCCTAGGCGTGGGGTTGGCATAGCATGTGGTGCTGGGGATTCAACCATGGTCCCTGCTTTTGCCTAAGCTTCCTTAAGCAGGCACTTTAGTATGCTGAGCTATCTTGCCAGCCCTCAAAATATTTTTAAAAGACCTGAGAAAGTACCTCAGATCTTGGGTTCAATCCCCAGTACTGAAAAACAAAAACAAAAACAAAAACAAAAATCTAGCACCTGCATGATTTTCACTAGCACCATGGGGATGTAACCAATCAACACAGGGCCACAGGAAACTCCAGGGAGCTAGCCTGTTCTCTCACCTCCTGGGGTCTTCCCTCCCAATCACCACAAACTTTGAGTCTAATTCCTTCCTAGTATGTCTCCAAGGCCTGTGGCCCTTTCACACACACTGGCCTCACTTTCCCTCAAGGCCTATCTCTTAAGCAGAAAGGGTCCTTCTGGCCTTGGAAACTGGAAAGGAAAAAGACTTTGAGTTTTATTAATAGTCAAATCATCAACATGGACTGATTCTGTTTTAGTGACTCACAGACACACACACAAATAAATCTCTAATAATTATAATTTCTGGACTTTTTTTCAGTTCCTACCTTTATTCAATTTATCTTGTTTATATATGTAGTGAAACAATATAAAATGAAAATGGTTTTGGGGAAAGGAAATGGGTTTATAAATCCCACACAAAGGCTTTGTGCCTAACCAAAGCCACTGCTGTGTGGAGACCTCTGGATGAAACCATCCTGACCAGAGAGCAACACCTTCAACTAAGGACTTAGGACTGAGAAGGAGGAGACTCCATCAAACTCAAAGTCACTGGACAGGATAGCAATAAGACCCAGCACTTGAGAGGCTGACGCAGGAGGACTGCTGCAAGTTTGAGGCCAGTCTGGGCAACACAGTGAGTTCAAGGCCAGTCTGAACTACATAGTCAATTCAGACTCACTATAATTAATAAATAAATAAGTAATGAGATTCACTTCAAAGTGAAAATAACATATTTCAAGAAACTCACGGGCCTGCCATGCAGGCCCCACCCCCAGGGCACGACAGGGCATGCTGAGACGGCAATTGAGACTGGGCGTGATGGTGCACACCTGTAATCCCAGCTCTTGGGAGGCTGTAATCAGGTGGATCACTATGAGTCCGATCTAGTAGTGAGACCCTGAACCCCCTGTAGACCTTTCCCTAAAAGTACAAAAAAAAAGAAAAAAGAAAAAAAAAGAAACTCAAAGAATCATACTGTCAAAAACAGGGCGTTCCAATGAATTCACTGAGGTTTCTCTTCACAGATCAAGGAATTGCTGAAAAGCATACAAAATGAAAGGTGTGATGGAAAGTTTACGAGAGACGAATAGGGGTCATCCAATAGGTTAGACACTCTTTCTATCATTGTTCCCCTCAATCCTTTTTTTCCTAAATACTTCTTCTGTAATGTAGCATCCAAAATGGGAATAAAAACTTGTATCCCATCTTCTTAAAAACACTGCATAATTTAAATTTCAGAGCTTGGTTATGCATTATCATTTGTTTTCATTGTGCTGATTTTTGGTGATCAAGCCTCAGCTCCCTTCAAGTTGCAATCCTTTTTGAAAAATCACAAGTGTGTAGAGTAGCCCCCATTTTCAGCAGAGGGTGGCCCCTTTCTATGTTATGATGGCTGTTGTGGTGATTGCCAACTGGTGGTCAACTTGTTACAACCAGCTGCACTGAACTAGCACAGTGCTAGGTGTGGGAGGCCCACATAAGAGTTGTTGCCAGGAGCATAAAGGGCAGAACTAGAGAGGCTGTTGGGAAGCTATTAGGGAAGTTGTTTGGAGAAGCTATTGGAAGCTACTGGTAGCTACTGGCTTTCCTAGGCTACTCTGCTGAGTGACCTTGTCATGCTAGCTTTCATGGTGGCTATTATTGGTGGAGGAGGAGCTCAGGACCTCACTGTTGCACAGAATGGCTGCAGTTCACTTCAGAGAGCTTTGTCTTCACCTTGAGCATCACCTCCTGGCTCCAGAGGGGAAGATGGTGCACAGCTCAGTTTCCTAGAAAAGCTTGTCATACTGGCTTTCCTGATGGGATCTCAGCTTTGTCATTGTAGGAGCTCAGGACCTCACTGTTGCTGAGGACGGCTGTGGTACTTCTCAGCGGAGCTCTGGTTCTTACCTTGAGCATTGCTTTTTGGCTCCAGATGAGACCCCTCAGCCTGCTGGCACAGATCCTTCATCCTGCTGGCACAGACTTTCTAGCTTCCACTACTGACCTTTGTACCTTGCCAGTGCAGATCTGTGAAACAGGCCTGCATGAGACATTTTCATGGGCTCTAGGCCTCCAGTTGGACTTGGAGGCATTGTTATGGGCTCTCGGTCTTCAGCTGGACTCATGCAGGACATTATTGTGGGATCCAGGCCCTCAGCTGGATTCTTTGGTCTTCAGTGTGTGGACAGATTTCCTGCACTCTCTGTATGATTCTTTGGGTGATTCATTATAAAACAATCTTACAAAATATGTGTCCTATATTGTATTGTTGCCCTTACTAAACCACAAACCACAACAGCTGCATTCCTCAATGACAGTAATTTGCCTTCAGTTACCAGACAATAACTGAGCAAAAAGAGCTAAAATATGATGACTATGAGGAATGATAGTCTCCTCCTAATTCTTCCCTGAAAATGAGTTAAGAAACTAAGTCAAATCCTAACTGGCACTAACTGACTACTTTTTCTAGTAGTGTCATTTCAGATAAAACACCCTGCATGTGAATTCAACTTCTCCTTTGTCTTCCCTATTTATAGCCTTCTCAGTAGAAAAAAATAATTTTTTTTCTCTCCTCATGTGGGTATTTATATTACTTTGGGAAAAATTACCAGCTACAAGATAAGAATGGGGATTTATAGGAAGAGGGCTCCTCTTATGGCAAAAGTCTGTATTTGGTTCTCCACATCACTGCATTGTACAGTGGGATTACACATAATAAAGCATTACTTTTTTTCCACTGGCCAATGTGCCTCATATCTAACATGTACATAGCCCTCTGGAACATTATGGTGGGTCAGTGAGGATGGCTTGGGAACATCTAAATGTGCCTGGTTATAATACCAACAAACCCTTAGCTCAAACTCAAAAACACCTCCCTTCTAGAAGCTTATGAGCTAAGTGGGGGAGGAAAGAAAAAGAGAAGGGCTAAGATATAATGTAGTGCAAGATAAAGATCAGAGAAATGACAGGAGTTCAGAGGAAGACTATGCTTTTGATTATCTGGCATGGAAGGAGAATAGGCTTTGGTGGAGATGAGATGTCAGCATAGAAAGTGAGGGTTTTATTTTACTTTGACAATTTTATGAGTAGTAATCTGAGCAACTACACTGAAGACAGCAATATGCAATGTAACAACCACTGTTCTTTAAAAAAGTTAATCTGTCATTGATTTATGTATTTATTTTTTACGGATTTAGTACAAGGTCTACAGGGACTCACTGCATAGATCAGACTCGTAGTGATCCTCCTGTTTTCAGCCTCCCAAGCGCTGGGATTACAGGCATATGCCACCACACCTAGTCTCAACTGCCATCTCAGTGCCCCCTGGGGGCAGGGCCAGCACAGCACACCTGAGATCCCAGTTGCTGTGCTCTGCCTAAGCAGGTGCTTTAGTCCGCTGAGCTATCTGGCCAGTCTGTCTGTCTGTCTGTCTGTCTGTCTGTCTTTTTCTTTCTTTTTCTTTCTTTCTTTCTTTCTTTCTTTCTTTCTTTCTGTTGAACAGGGTCTCACTACATAGCTCAGACTCTAGTGATCCTACTGTCTCAGCTTCCCCTGTGCTGGGATTACAGGTGTGTACCACCACACCCAGTTTTGGTGTCACAGCATACCCAGGGTTCTAGAGCTAGCACAGCATGCAATACTGGAATCAAGCCCAGGTCCTTGAGCTTGCCAGGCAGGCACTTACACTGCCGAGCTGCCTCTCTAGCCCAACAACCATATTGAATATGTATCATTTCTAATGTCTTATCTATTATTTTCATGCTTTTTTAAAAAAAAAACATTAAAAGAAAGTTAGGATTTTAACTGTAGAGAAAGGAAAATTTCAGGAAAGATCCAGGATAAACAGGGGAGACTAGGGAGGGCTCAAGAAGAAGAAAGGAAAAAGTTAAAAAAAACTTTTAAGGTAGATAGAAGTAAACATTTTTCTTGCAGCAGGGAGGTAATATAGGGGTACAGAAGAATAGTCCAATAAGCCTTTGATATCAGAGTGTGAAGTACTTGAATGTTACTAAGGTATCTGCATTTTATCCAATACAGTATCAAAAAGTCACCAGCTCATGTTTACATTAATTAGAAAGATGAAAGCACATGGAAGCACATGACTAGATGTATTTTTTTTTTTTTTTTTTTTGGTATTTATTACAAGGTCTATAGGGTGTCACTATACAGATCTGACTTGTAGTGCTCCTCCTGTTTTCAGCCTCTCAAGAACTGGGATTACTGGCACACGTCACCATCCCCAGTCTCAGCTGCTGTCTCAGTCAGTCTTGGCCAGGGATCGAATTTTGGTCCCTGCATCTGTCTTGCAGGCACTTTAATCCACTGAGCTATCTAGCTGGTCCAATGAATTTTCTTATTAAGGTCCTAGGTCTATTTTGAGTGGTAGTTAAATTTTCCAAATTATTTTTAACAATTAAAAAGAAATGCTATGACATGGATTTAAACCATGTATCTATAAATGCAAATACTTGTTTCTGACCATACTTCAGAGACTAAGAAAATTCAAAATATCAAAACAAATTTAAAAATTAATATCTAGGGCACCAAAACAATTAAAATTATCAGTAGTGCCTCCTTAATCCTGATTTCATTTTCTACAGTTTTAACTATTTGCCGTCCACATCTGCCTGAAAACATTACACTGAAAAATTCCAGAAATAAGTGATTCATGTTTAGAGCTGCCTGTCATTCTGAGTGACATGATGAAATCTCGATCCATCTACAGCATGAACCACAAGCCATCCCTCTATGTAGTGTCTCCACTTGCTATAGTTTAGATCTAAAACATCCCCCAGAGTCTCCTGTGTGCAGAGGTACAGGCTCTAGAAGGTGACTGGATCATAAAGGCCCAAGCTCCACTACTCAATTAATCCTGTGAAAAGGTCATAATTTCACAAGATTATTAAGAAGTGACAAACTGGGCATGGTAGTGCATGCCTGTAATCCTAGCACTCGGGAGGTTGAGGCAGGAAGATCGCTGTGAGTTCAAGACCTGCCTGGGCTGCAGAGTGAAACCCTGTCTGAGAAAGACCCCCCCCCCAAAAAAAAGAGGTGACAGGAACACAGGAGGTGGGGCCTAGTTGAAGGGAGTATGCCATGGGGACTATTCAGGTGCTTGGCCCCTTCCTCTCTGGGTCTCTCTTTCTCTTCTACCTGGCTTCCACCAGGTTAACAGCATTCCTCTTCTGTGATCTTCTGCCATGACATTTCTGCTTCGCCACAGGTGTAAGAGCACCCAGCCAACCAGGGAACAAAATCTTTAAAGCCATGAGTCAAAACACATCTTTTCTCCTTTACACTGTTTCTATTGAGTATTTAGTCACAGGGATGAAAGCCAGACACAACTCTATGCCTCTGCTGGTTTTGGTTATCCGGTTGTTACTCTGAGCACTTGTGTTCAAGTAACCCTTATTTTACTTAATAAGGCCTAAAGTGTAGAAGTAGTGATGCTGGTATTTAGATTTGCCACAAAGAATTCATAAAGTACTCCTATAAGTACATTCTTTTGTACATTTTTAAGTACTCAATATGTAGTTCAGGCTGGCCTCAAACTCATGGTGATTCTCTAGCCTCAGCCTCCCTGAGAGCTGGGATTACAAGTGTGCACCACCACACCTGGCAGCTTTCTATAAGTAAAAAAAAAGTTCTCAACCTAAAAAAAAGCAAAGTACTGTTCTGCTGAAATTGCTAAGGTCTACAATAAGAATGAATCTTCTATAGATGAACCTATGAAAAAGGAAAAAGAACTCAGGCTAGTTTTTCTAGTATGCTGCAATTAGTTATCCACCTGAGAAAGAGAGAAAGGACAGCCACATAAGTACCATTATGGCATATTATTACTGTTTTTTTTTTTTTTTTTTTTTTTGGTGGTACCAGGGATTGAATTCAGGACCTTGAGCTTCCCCAGGAGGCACTTATTCTACCGAGCTATCTCCCCGGCCCTGTCTTATTATTACTTATTGTTGTTAGTCTTTTATGGTACCTGATTTATAAGTTGAACTCTATCACATGCATGTTTGTATAGAAAAAATGTAGTATACACAGTGGCACCTCAGTGCCACAATTCTCTGCAACTAGAATCATGGAAAGAATGAAGCTCATAAACTGAGGTACCATTGTATATTGTTACAGTTTAGATCTGTGATAGCCCTCCAAAAGTCTGTGTTCAGAGGCAGAACTTCTGGAAGGTGATCTGGATCACATATTATCAGGAGGTAGGGCCTGGGTGGAAGAGCTGTGTCACTGGGGGCGTGCTTTTAAAGCATATATTCCTTTCTCCCCAGCTCCTCCCTTTTCTCTCTTGATTTTGTGCTGCCACAAGAACAGCTTTCTTCCTTCACATCCTTTCACAATGCCATTTCTGCCTTGAATCCAGGTTATCATGGATTGACTCTCCTGAACTGAATTAAAAATCTTCTCCTTTAAGTGGTATCTGTCCCACCAATGGAAAAGTAACTACCCATACCTGGCTTGAGGCATCCACTGGGTGTTGACAGACTCATTATTTTATCAGTATTCAGTAATTATTTCAAAAAGGCACTACCTCCAAATTTCTCCACTGCTTTCTCCACTGCACTGCTGATTTGCTGTTCATCTCTTACATCCACAATACAGGGCAAGGCCTTTCCTCCAGCTGCTTCAACTACAAAGGGTAAACAAACAGAAAATCATTAAAGCATTCTAATATGATACCTTCCATTCTGATATATCAGACAAAAGAAAAAAGTACCCCTTTCAGAAAATCAATAGAAACATTATCTCATAATGACTAGTGACTCCAACACACAGGACAGATTGACCATGTCCAGCCTACCACTAGCTAAGTCAATGCTATTAATAAAACAAAAAAGAAAGCCTGTCATGGTGGCTCATACCTATAATCCCAGCATTTGGGAGACTGAGGCAGGAGGACAGCTATGAGTTCAATGGACAGCCTGGGCTACATAGTAACTTCAAGGCTAGTCTGAACTACCTGGTGAGACACTGTCTCAAAAAAATAAAATAAAATTAGAAAGAGGAAGATTTTTTTTAAAAAAATTCTATTACAAAGCAGTAAAGGGGTGGGGAGGTAGCTCAGTGGCATAAGCACCTGCCTGGCAAGTACAAGGTCCCAAATTCTATCCGTGGTACTGCAAAAAAAAAGAAAAAAAAGAAAAAAAAATAGTAAAAGGAAAGTAATTAAAAATTTTTATTATAGAAAAATTTTAAAAGTACATGAAAATACAAGGAATAGTTTTAAGGCTGGGGAGAGAGCTTGGTGATTTAAGCACCTGCCTGGCAAGTGCAAGGACCTGAGCTCGATCCCCAGTACCACATGCCATGCGGGCCCAGCACTGAGCCAGCCAAAATCGGGCATGGTGGTGCACCCCTATATTCCTAGCACTGGAGAGGCTGAGACATGAGGATCGATATGAGTCCAAGCCATGTAGTGAGTCCAAGCCATACCAAATAAATAATGATTAAAAAATATTTTTTAAAAAAAGAGTAGTTTTTAAAGCTACCATTAATCTCCTATCTTTAGTGATTGTTACTGATTTATCTTTTGTTTGTTTTATTTTGTTGCAGTGCCAGAGATTGGACCCAAGGCCTCTGTACCCGTCTACATTCCCAGTCCTTTTCATCTTTTATTTTTTTATTTTATTGATAGATGTTCTCACTACAGTTTGAACTCACAGTGATCCTCCTGTCTCAGCCTTGCCAGTGCTGGAATACAGGCATGTGCCACCACGCCCAGTTTCAGGACCAGCACAGCACACCTAAGGTTCTGGGGCTGGCACAGCATGCAGCACCAGGGATTGAACTTGGGACCTTGCATTTGCCAGGCAGCCATTCAGACCGCCAAACTAGCTCCCTAGCCCTTTATCTTTTATTTTGAGACAGTCTCACTTAGTCACAATCTGGGATTAAACTTTCAACGATCCTGCCTCAGCGTCCCAGAGCACTAGGATTACAGATGTGCACTGCTTCACTCAGTTGATTATTACAGTTCTGCTGATTTATCTTCCCCTTGCCACATTTTATTTGTGTTTATATTTTAAAATAGTCCTCAGTATCATTTTACTCATAAGCGGTTCACGTACATTGCTGCAATACAACCACAATACTATCAACATGACTAATAAAACTAGCAATATAACTACAGTTGAATTTTTAAGTCCTTTCTCTTGGCCCTTTGCCTAGAGTAATGTCTTAAATGTAAGACAAGGGGCTGGAGAGATGGCTCAGTGGTCTAAAGCACCTACTTGAAACAAGCTTGGCAAAGCACAGGGACCGCGGTTCGATCCCCAGCACCACATGCCAGCCAGCCCCGCCCTCTGGTGGGCTGAGCTGGCCACATACACAATAAATAAATGTAATAAATAAAAATAAATAAATATTTAAAAAAAAAAGATTTAAATGTAAGACAATTACTCATCAGCTGAAAATATTAAAATAATGACTTGAGAAATATGTATACTAAATAATGCTTTTCTAAAATGTCCACACTATCACCCCCAAAATTCTCTCCTCCCCACTCCCACTCTGTCTCCCTCCCATCCCAGAAGCAGCACTACCCTCACGGGCATCACTTTTAACTACCATCCCTCACATCATTTAAAAATGCTAGAAAAGAAAGCAACTCCTGCTCCTGAGCAACAAAACAAACTTTTTAAAACAAGATAAATACTTCTTTAAGAGTAGCTTTCACATATGTGTTCTGCTGAAAATAAGACCTAACTGGAAAATCAACTTCAGCAGTAATTTCTTGCAGGTTGTGACCATGGTGATGGCCAGCATCATGCAGGCAATCATACCTCACTATTCTCTTACTCAATGGCTGCTTCATAATGACAAGGAAGGCAAGGATAGGTTGATTGGGGACAGCATTTTTAACCTCTAATTAGGTCTTATTTTCAGGGAAGCACAGGTAGTTCAAATTCAACCCGCAGAAAATTATGTATTGAAACCACCATGAGAACATTCAATGACATGGTGAAGGTCACACTCACTCTCTTCAGCAGCAGTGTAGATGGTGCCTGGAAGTTTAGGGTGTGACTGGGAGGTCTTTGCAGCAATGACAATATTTGCTCCATCCTTTGCAGCTTTCAGTGCAATTGCTTTGCCAATGCCACGGCTTGCACCAGTGATGAAAATTGTGCATCCTGCTAGCCTCCTACAACAGAGCAGAAAACCATCAGAGAGCTCAACACTTCCTTTACTCATCAGTATCAGGAGCTCATGCATGCTTCTGTAATATCCACAGTTGCTTCCCTGTGAGATTTTCACAGCTTTCATATATATATATATATATATATATATATATATATATTAGAATCAATTTATCTAGCTATACAAGCAAAAATCAGTTAAGACTTTGATAGAAATTATATTGAATCTATAATTCAATTCAGGAAGAACTGACATCTTAATGACATATTCTAAGCCATGAACATGATATTATCTCTATTTGAGTCTTCAACACTTATTCGATATAATTGTACAATTTTTTATAGAAGGGCATTGTACTTCTTTTGTTAGCTTTATTCCTGGGTACTCAATTGTTTTTAATGTGTTTCAACATTTTATTTGTACATATTTTCAAATTTAAAGAATGAGAATAGTAAAAGATATAGATATCTATCTACCGATAGGTAGACAGATAAAACCTTCACTTGGTAATATACAGGGTTAATGTTTTACCCTACTATGCTCAACTTGCTCTTCTCTTTTCTTGTCTTCTCTTCTCTTTTCTCTCTCCCTTTTCTTTCCCACCTCCTCCTTTCTCCCTCTTTGTCCTTCTACTTTTTTTTTTCCCCCTTAAGAATAAGAAGAGCTGAGCATGGTAGCACTGGTCTATAATCCTAGCACTCAGGAGGCTGAGGCAGGAGGCTACCTAGTAAGTTTAAAATCAGAAAATGAAAATGGTAGGTTGAATATATGGTCTGTTCTCTTATGTATCCACCACAGTTATAACACTGATATAGTAATTATTTGTATCTAATGATCCATCAGCATTGTCAACGCAATAATGCTCTTTAGAGCAATCTTTGCTGTCCAGTTCCAATAGAGGATCCACATTGGGGTCAGAAGTGCATTTGCTTCTCATATCTCCTTAGTCTGCTTTAGCCCTTTTACAGCATCTCTTGCCTCTTACAACACTGACTTTTGCAAAATACGGCTACCACTCCTTTATGTGATACTGTGTCTTCACTATATCAACTCAGGCCCACCTGCACTCACTGGATACTTGCTATTCTTTCTCTTGCAACAAATAAATAATCAGTGTAAACAGATGTTTACTTTAAATTACTTTTAGTGGAATTGTAAAAAATATTTTAAAGTAATACAGTATGTTTATTCGACAACCATGAAATTTTTGGAAGCAAATCCCAATGGTCATATTACTTTATTTATGACTTCAGTACTTACTTGCTTACTAGATAATATTTTTTACACTATGTCATTATACCTAGGAAAATAATAACTATTCAAGAGCACCCAATGTATGTCCATATTTAAATATTCATAATATTTTCAATAACGTCTTTTTCTTTTGGACTGATCTAATCAGGATCCAATAAGGATTCTGCATTGCACTTGTTAAACCTTGTAAATCCCTTTAACTTATACTAATTCTCCTTCTAATTTTTCTTTTTTTTTTTTTTTTTTTAGGAAAAAAATGGTTTTGTACGTGGGATGAAACAATATAAATTCAAAATATAGAGATCAGGGTTAACGCTATCACTCATCTCTTTAAAAAGTTTATGAATCTCCAGTCAAAACCAACAGGGTATGTGAGGTACACTTCTGAAGTGTTATTGCTATGCTCCCACGCAGACCACAGGATGCACACCACCTGGAATGTCCTCAAAAGGCTCTGTGATGACAGGTAACAGAGTAAAACTCCAGAGTCCTTTCTTTCTAATGAATAGCTACAGACCAGGACAGAGGGGACTATTCAAACTTCATCTTTTTTCCTTGTGGTTTGGGGTCTCTACTTCCTCCCTGGCCTCCTCAGCAGCCCCCTCAATCTCAAAATTTTTGAGATGGTCTTCCTGGGCAGTTTAGGCTGGCCTTAAGTTCAGTATATGTAGCCCCTGAAGTCATGACAATCCTCTTGCCTCAGTCTCCCAGTGCTCAGATTACAGGTATCGCCACTGCACCTAGTCCCCTTCTATTCTTTATGCCACTTACTTGCTGAAAGTTATAGAGATCATCTGTCCTGTAGTAGAGTTCATATTCAGGACTTTGAACTCAATGTTGTTGCATTTCTATATTTCTATATTTGTTGCAGATTTTTCCAAGAAATTGATTTGTAGAAATCTAAATTATTGGGGCTGGGGAGATGGCTCAGTGGAATAAGCGCTTCCCTGGCAATTGCAAGGGCCTGAGATCAATTCCCGGTTCCGCAAAAAAAAAAAAAAAAAATTAAATTATTTTCCTTCACTTTTACTTGAAACTGTCAAACTTTTAATTTTAATAATTTAGTTATAAAAATAATTTAGTTATAAAGTATTTAATATTTAGTTAAAATTATTTTCATTTTCTGTGTAGGATAATGAGACCTATAAATAATGACACAACTTAGTATCTATATTTCTATGCATAATTTGCTTCAGTGAGAAGGAAAGTATTGCTGTATGGAAGTGCCAAGATGCAAGAAGGTATGAAAACCAAACACAATGGTAAGTAAAGAAATATTTAAAAAGGCACAACAAATAATGCTTATGGAGTCAAAACAGGTTATATTTAAAAATTGTTATAATATAAACTCCAATGTTTAAGTGCTTTAATTTTTTAAGTCCTTGACTTGTTTGGAAGAATAGCAAATTCTATTTACATATTGGTAAGTTATGCACATATGACAAAATGTCTATGTTAAGAGGCTCTAGGCTTAGGTTGAAGGGAGAGAGCATGTGCTTAGCATGCAAGAGAAACTGGACTGAGCCGACTAGATAGCTCAGCAGACTAAGCACCTGCTTAGGCAAGCACAGGGTCCGGGGTTCAATCCCTAGCCCCATATGCCATGCTGGCCCTGCACCCAGGCACACTGAGCTGGCCACCAAGACGAGGTGTGGTGGCATAAGCCTGTAATCCCAGTGCTGGGGAGGTTGAAAACAGGAAGAACACTATGAGTCCGAGCTGTGTAGTGAGACCCTGTACTAAACGCATTACAAAAAAAAAAGAGAGAACATGGATTTAATAACACCATAATTTTTAAAAAGGTTAGATTTAATGATTGTTAAATAGAAATTCCAGACCTTGACAGTTTTGCTAACAAGGATAGGATGCTGACTGCAGTGTAACTTTTTGGAAGAAAAGAAGGGCTCTGTAAGTCAGTTTTGAGAATATAAAAACTCTCCCAGATTAAATCCCTCTGAAAACACAAAAACAGATCACATGACAAAAATCACCATAAGGGGCTGGGGAGATGGCTCAGTGGAATACGCGCTTCGCTGGTAAGCGCAAGGGCCTGAGTTCAATCCCCGGTTCCACAAAAAAAAAAAAAAAAAAACACCATAAACTTGGCATAGACACACACACCTGTAATCCCAGTACTCTTCAGAGGCTGAGGCAGGAAGGCACAAATTCAAGCCCAGCCTGGGCAATTTTGTGAGATCCTGCCTCAAAATAAAACAATACAGGAGAAGGGCTAGGACTATGGTCCTGAATTCAATCCACAGTAGTAATCTACCCCCAACCCCAAATTACTTGAACTACTTGTTTTTCTCTATATGTTTAGATTATAGGTTTAATGTACACTTAAATTTATTTTATGATAGCATTCCATTTTAATTTCTGTCCCTTCATCTTTGGTAAGGAAAGTTATAAAATATACATGGTTTACAAGTCAAAACTTATAATAATATATACTCAGAGAACTTACTATGTAGCCCAGGCTAGCTTTGAACTCACAGCAATTTTTCTGCTTCAGCCTCCCAAGGGCTGAGATTATAGGCATGTGCTACCACATCCTGTGAGCATTCCCTTCCTAAAGACGGTAAATCCTTTGCCTTTTGCTAGAAATCCTACTATCATGTGTTAAGTTCTTTTTGTATATAAGGTTTTATTTCTGGACTTTGTTCTCTTACTTTGGTTTATTCATGCACCAATACCAAATTATTTTAATTACTCTAGTTTTTAAAAATACTTTAATACTGTATCTGGGAAAGCTAGTTGCTGCCTCATTTGTATTACTTTTTGAACATTTTCTGTTCACTCTTGGATATTTATTTTTTCAAATGAACTTTAGCATAGTTTGTGCATTCAAAAAAAAAGTTTCTTTTTAAAAATGGTTAAAAATTTCATCACATTTTCTCTGATTTTCATGTGCCAGAGAAATTTAACAAATTGAACTTCAGGTTTTCACTACAGTTGCAAGTATCCATCATCTGATGATGGTATTGAGAACTTTGGACTTTCTCTGAGGTGTCCTGGTTCCACTGCTCAGTGGCATGTGTCCAGCTGCCTTTGCCATTTTTGCTGCCAAGGACTGACACTGGGCCCACTGGGAATCAGGCCAGCTAGATCACAAGTAATGGGGTAGAACCTCTGGGACATTTTTACATGAGCACTTTCATTAAAAATCAATTTAAAATCTCTATATGCTGCTTTTTAAATATAGAAAAGAGAAAAATCACACATATAGAGTGCATTTTACATATAATATATGATTTCACATTTTTTGAAAAAATAAATACAAATGGATAGACCAAAACTTAGTGAAGTTAAGCCAGGCGTGGTGGTGCACACCTGTAATTCCAACACTCAGGAGGGTGAGGCAGGAGGATTGCTGGGATGGGGCCAACTTGGGCTACATAGTGAGTATAAGGCCAACTTGAACTACAAAGTGAGACCCAGTCTCAAAAAGGGGCAGGAGCACTTGATTCCTAGTATGAAATTTTAAAAAAAGTGGGGCAATGCTCAATGCTGATGAGACCACAAGACAATTAAATGAACCAAGTGAAGTGAGCTCCCTAATTCACTTCCAATACCAAAATAAATGAAAAAAATCATATACGGTATATATGACATACATATTCAATATATAGAAATATATATGCATATACATAGTGATCCATATATATATACATATGTGTATGGTCATGTACATACACTGTGTAGGCCAGGCTGGTCCCAAACTGTGTAAGTTCAGAAACAGCTTAAATTACATATGCAATGAGCCCCTGTCTCAAAACAAATAAATAAATTAACAAATAATAAAATAGGGGCTGGAGGTGTGGTTCAGTGGTAGAGCACTTATATAATATGTGTGAATTCCTGGGTTCAATCTCTAGCACCACAAAAATAAATTAGTTAATAACAAAAATAGTGTAAAAACCATAAAAGTACAGAAAAATCAATTTTTAAAAAATCATGGTTTAAAATTATCTTACAGAGTTGTCACAAACACAAAGGCCTTAAAAGAACAGTAATTCTATGGGGCTGGTGAGATGGCTCAGTCGTCTAAAGCACCTACTTAGAACAAGCTTAGCAAAAGCACAGGGACCACTGTTCAATCCCCCAGCACCACATGCCAGCCAGCCCCGCCCCCTGGTGGGTTGTAGCTGGCCACACACACACATAAATAAATAAAATTTTAAAAAAAAGAACAGTAATTCTAAATTCATAAAATACATGTCTTCATGTCAAATGAATAGTATAATCAGTCAATATTTAATTTTTAAAAACAAAATATTAGTAACACACATGATAAAGAACACTTTTTTAAATATACAAGTTCTCAGAGATCCATCATAAGTCTCATGGATTAAGCCAGACAAATAAAAAGATACAAAGAGCTTTAAGCTAAGCTTCTTCCTTTCTTTTTTTCTTTTCTTTTCTTTCTTTCTTTGGGAGAAAGTCTCGCCATGCAACTTAAGACTCCTGTCTCAGCCTCCCCATCGTTGGAATTACAAGCATACATCACCATGCCAAGTTTCAGTGGCCTGCCTGCAGGGTACGCCCAGAACCATCAGCATGGCATGCAGTACCAGGACTGAACCCAGGTCCTTGCACTTGCCAGTCAGGCACTTAAACCGCTCAGCTATCTCCACAGCCCTAAACTACATTTTCTCAACTTCTGGACTGTTGACATTTTGAACTGTGTAACAGGGGAATGCCTGTGCATGCTAAGATGTTTACCTGTATCTAAGATTCCACTCTCTGGAGGCCACTAGTAACTTTCCTCCATTAGAACAATCAAAACCCTTCTCAGACATAGGTATGGCAAAATGTCCTCTGGGATTCAAGTGGCCTCAGGTTTATAAAGAGGTCCCTCTTCTCAATTGTGATGAAACAAACACAAATTTTAGGTATAACAATCACTTAATTCTCTAATTAGATTTATTATCAAATATTTTGCTGTTTGCCAACATATTGGATTAGAAAATCTCATTCATCCTTTTGGGTCCAACTTTTTTAAAGGCAAGTATATGTATATAGCTATCAAAATTTAAAGTACATATTTTATTTGATCCAACAATTTCTTTTTTTTTTTTATATGTTGTTTTCCCCCTAAAAGTTTTTTTTTTAATTTTTTTTTATTTATTTGAGAGAGAGAGAGAGAGAGTGGTGTGTGTGTGTGTGGCCAGCTCGGCCCACCAGGGGGCGGGGCTGGCTGGCATGTGGTGCTGGGGGATTGAACCGCGGTCCCTGATGCTTTGCCAAGCTTGTTCTAAGTAGGTGCTTTAGACCACTGAGCCATCTCTCCAGCCCCTGATCCAACAATTTCAACGGCAGGAATTTAGCTCAAAAATATACTCACATACATACAAACAGCTGGATAAAAAGATAATCATGGAAGCAAAGACAGTAACACAAAACTTGGAAGAGCCAATATGCTCCAAAAGGGGACAGGTTAGGTAAATAATGGTATACCTATGTAGTCAGAGATTATGCAACAATTAAAAATAAACTGGGCCTAGTGACACTTGCCGGAAATCCCAGAACTTTAGCAATGCAAATTCCAGTTTATGCTGGGTAATTCAATAGTTTTGCAAGACCATGTCTCAAAATTAATTTTACCAAAGGCTGGGGATGTAGCTCAGTGTGAAAGCCCTGGGCTCAATTCCCAGCACTCGGAAAGGAAACAAAAGAAAGAGGAATATGTAAATGTACTGCAAATGTATTTAGTGTATATCCCAAGAAAAAGGTCAAAATGGAATCTGGCATTGTTTTTAATATGTGTCTCTTGTTTTACAAAATATGCTTATAAGTATACATAATAAAAACATGACAAAAAGTAACTGGGATAGGGGCCAGGGAGATGGCTCCGTGGAATAAGTGCTTCCCTGGCAAGCTCAAGGGCCTGAGTTCAATCCCTGGTCCCGCAAAAAAAAAAAAAAAAAAAAAAAAAAGTAACTGGGGATATGGATTTTAAAAGTAAGGAAACTCACATTTTACTTTGAAATGTCTTTTAGCTATATGCAAGGTTCAATCTAATTATAGACAAGACATGGAACTCAGTTAAAGATATTCAAACTTCCTCACCCTCCTATTGGTAATTGAACCAAGGGCCTCTGGCACTGAGCTGTATCCCCACTCCATCTTTAAGTCTTGCTAAGTCCCTACATTTCTCAGACTGGAGTCAAACTTGCAGTCCCCCTGCCTGAGCTTCCCAAAGTGAGAGGATTACAGGCAGTAACCACCAGGCCCAGCTTGGATAGGCAACTTTATATAGAAACAAAGAGTAGAATGGCAGTTGCCAGGGCCTGGAGGTTGGAAGAAACTGGGAGACATTGTTTCACCGGCATAGTTTCAGGTTTTTTTTTTTTTTCAAAGTTTTATTGATAAACATATAGTAATGAGACAGTTTCAAATCAAATCGAAAGTACAGTTTCAACAAATAATACACTGCATACATTCTTCCTAGCATAGTTTCAGTTTTACAAGACGAAAAGTTGTAGGGGTTGGCTGCACCACATTGAAAATTTACCCAACACTAACTACACTTAAACACAGTTAAGACAGAAAATTTTATGTTACGTGTACTCTGCTAAACTTAAAAAAAAAAAAAGTAAATGGAAGTTCTTCCCTTAAAAATACCCATACTTTCCCATATTTTAGGAACAGTTTAACTTGTTACTAATTAGAAAATCATTTTCAAAAGACACTATTATTTTGTTACTCTACAGCGAAGCATTCAGACCTAGCGGAACCCTGAGGTCCCCATGCCCCAGTGACCTTTCACCTAGAATTCGCCCTCCAGGCGCCAGAGGAGCAGCTACGGCCGGAGCAGAGATCAGGCTACCGCTGGGAGCGACAGGGAAATCCACTCTTGACGAATTATCCGTGGTCGAGGTTTTTACACTGCTGCCCCCCTGCTTACACTATTAACACAACTTCGGGTTACTTTTCACGCGACGCTGCAGATCCACAGCACACAAGATCCAGCGTGGACCCGGGCTGCTCAGCGCGCTGCTCCTGCCTCCATGGCCCTCCCTTCTTCGCCCAGTCGTCCCCACCGAGCCGCGCACTCCATCCCGCCAGGTCTCGACCCTGTCCCCTTACCCGGTGTTGGGCAGCATGACTTCTCTGGAGCACAGGAGTTAGCGACAACTGCAGCAGCGGAGGTGGCGGCGGGGGGAAGACCCGACGCAGACCCTCCCTCCCCCGTGGCCCCGCCCCGGGCCCCGCCCCCGGGCCCGCCCCCCTCAGGCCCGTGAGGGAATGGGCTCTCGGAGAAGCTAGAGATAGCCGAGTGCGCCTGCGCACACCGTGGGCCCAGCGCTGCTAGGCGTGAGAGCCTCTCGGTCTCTTCTGGAGCCTGGAAACCCGCTCTCTGCGCAGGCGCCGTGAAAGACGCCTCAGCCCTGCCCTCTGCGCAGGCCTACGGGGACAATCGGTCTCCCCGCTGCGTCTAGCTCTTTGGGAGCGTCAGTCAGTACCTACACCACCCCAACTCCCCCCCACCCCCGTACTCGGGCTCGGTTGCATCGCTAGGCCCAGGAAGAAAGTATTATATTAGAAATCCTGCTGCGCCTCTCTCAGCCCACCACCTGCGGAAACGCGCTCGGTGCCTGGAGCCAGTCTGGGTCCCCTCCATTCTCAGTTGGGCCTGTGGTGACAGAGCAGCTTGTGGAAGAGAGATCTCTGAAAAAACAAGCTAAGGTCAATTCTGGTATTCGACATCACTTTGGGGAATATAACCTTCACATAACAGCTAAACGAACTAAAAACTGTGACATAGTTGAGGTGGAGAAGTTGATTTTACATTTTGTAGAGGTATGGTAAGGAGATTCTTATCTGAAACTAGTTAAGGAAAGTACTTGAACTAGCTTGGTGTAACAATGGTGGGCTTTATACTGTTCAGTTCATTATGGGCCCTCATTTACATACATAAGCTGCTCATCTCCTATAGGTATTTGAATTTGTGGTTCATGATAAAGTCCTTAAAGGCTCCGGAGGAATTTACTTGTTCAACAAATAGTACTATCTACTATGTTTTAGTCACTTGAGATACAAGAAAGCAAAAAAGTCGAGCGTTGTACTTATATGGGAATATGATGACTAGCTCATGTGACTTTCAGACTACAGAAATACTGTTTTAGACAGCGTTGAGAGAAACTGTTCATTAGGAAAGGAAGTTTCTCTCCACTCACCCTTGGGAGCTTTTTTCTTACTTTTGAGTGGCCATTATACAAGGTAAATTTATTCCTAAATTATTTAGTCATTCTAGTAGGCAAATTTAAATCTATTTAATTCAATATTATGAATAAAATATGATTTGGAGTTACCATGAACAGATTTGGAGTTACTATGTACATAAGCACTTTCAAAAGGTGCTTATATAATACCTTCACCAAAGCCCTATACCAAAGGACAGAGGACAGTGCCAAACAAAAACCAGTATTGCACTCTCAGTCAATAGAGAGGGCAAAACCTTGGGACACACAGAAAACAAGAATCTCTCACACAGAATAGATACCTAAAGAACAGATTCTATAGGGAGTGGCTCTGGATCACAGTGATGCAGCTGCTATCAAACTTGCACAAAAAGTATCAAAGAAAAAAGAGTTCACTCTGAAATATAAAATGAAAAACAGAAGGAGCAAAGTGCAGTCTCGGCCCCCAAACCCAAGCAGAACAAATGCAGGAGACCCTACCATGTAAGAAATTGGAAGTCCCATACCTGAAATATTTAAAATAATAGCATCTGGAGTACACAAACAACTTCAGAAGGGTATACAGGAAATCAGATCAGAAATAATCTCCCAAGTAAAAAAGGAAATAATGATAATGAAAGAATTACTAAGTTTCTAAAGAAGACACTGATAAAAAAAATAGAGGAGACCAGAAAAATGTTAGAAACCTTGAGTGAGCAATATAGTAAAGAAATAGAATGCATGAAACGGATTCAAAGAGATATTTAGGAGATTAAAAACTCAAAAGTTGTTGTTTAGCTGAATTCAAACACCTATAGTATTTAGATGCCAATAGAATATCCACCTCTGACAGGACTAAAAAAAGGGGGGGGGGATACAAAGGAAAGATCATTTTGTATTCATATATACAAAATAGTTAGGATAGATATACAGCTATTTTCGCTTAATTCAATGAGAAGAAAGAGGTGTACTAATAGTGTTTGGACAAGATATCCTGTCTGCTTCTTACACTATGAATAACCACTAAGAAGATGACAATGTACAATGTATTGATTATTGAAACTGTCCTATTAATCAGCTTTGAAACTGTCTCATATATGTTTCTCAATAAAATTTAAAAAAAAAAAACTCGAAAATTGACAAAACTGCCTGAGTGAAAGTGAAGATAGACTTTCAGACCGTGCAGACACTGTTCCAGCTAGTGAACATGTAAGGAAATTTCTCTTAAAAAAAACAACAAAAATCCAGTAAATAATAATTCAGCAGCTGCAAGATGATGCAAAGATGAACAACATAAGACTAATAGGCATCAATGAGAAACACGGAGTCAACACAAATAATATAAAAAAAGAATATGGTCAGAAGTAATAGCAGAAAACTTCCCAAATATGGGGAAACAATCTGACATTCAGCTTATGGAGGTATATAGAACTCCAAATAACATCAACCCAATTAAAACCACAGCCTGACATATAATAGTCAAGATCCCAAAAATTTGGCAAAAGAATAGCATACTAAAAGCCGCTAGAGACTACTAAAAGATATTCTAGAAAAGGATCAAAGTGACCACAACTCTGAGAATGAGAACAGAAAGAACACAACAAATAGGACAAACAGTTAAACATTGGAGAAAAGTAGGTAACGAACAGCAGAAAACATATCAAATGTAAGTCAATACATATCAATTATAACCATCAATATAAATGGACTCAATTCACCAATTAAAAGAAATAGACTGGGCTGGCCACATAGCTCAATGGATTAAAACACCTACAAGCAGGCACAGGGCCTGGGAGTTTGATCTCCAGGCCTGACATGCTGGCCCACCCTCAGGGTGCACTGAGATGGCAGTTGATACCGGGCATGGTGGTGCGTGCCTGTAATCCTAGCTCTTTTTTTTTTTTTTTTAATCCTAGCTCTTGAGTGGCTGTAAACAGGCAGACAACTACAAGTCGGATCTAGTAGTGAGAACCTGAACACCCTGTAGACCCTTCCCTAAAAAAACAGAAAGAAAAGAAATATAGACTGACAGAGTAGATTTAAGAAACAAAATCCATTCTGTATGAGTTGTCAAAAATAAATAAATTAATTAATTAAAAAAAAAGAAAGAAACAAAATCCACGGGGCTGGGAAGATGGCTCAGTGGAATAAGCACTTCCCTGGCAAGTGCAAGGGCCTGAGTTCCATCCCCAGTTCCGCCAAAAAAAAAAAGGAAAAAAAAGAAAAAAGAAAAAAGAAAATCCAACACTATGCTCTATATAGGAAACACATTTAACTCATAGAGAAATTCACAGGCTGAAAGTGAAAGGATGGAAAACAATGCAATACATACCCCAGGACCCCAGAAAAAAGCAGGGGTAACAATCCTGTTCACAGACAATCTGAACTTCAAAAATCATTAAACAAAATAAAGCCACTATATACTGGTTAGGGGAAAAATACAAAAGGAGGAGCTAACAGTCATAAATATGTATGCACCAAATACAGGAGCACCTAACTATATAAAACAAACTTTAATGGACATGAAAAATCTAATATCCAGGGAGCTGGGGAGATGGCTCAATGGAATAAGTGCTTCCCTGACAAGTTCAAGGACCTGAGTTCAATCCCTGGTTCTGGAAAAAAAAAAAAAAAAAAAAAAACTAATATCCAATACCACAATCTTATTAGGAGACCTTAATACCCCCTTATCCCAAAAAGATAGGTCAAACAGACAAAAAAATAGCAAAGAAGTAGGAGAATGGAACCAGACCTTTGAACATATGAACTTAATAGACATATACAGAATGCTCCATCCAACAACATCTGAATACACATTCTTTTCAGCTGCACATGGGATGTCTTCTAAAATAGACCACATACTAGTCCATAGGTCATGCTTAAGTATATGCAATAAAACAAATTATCCCATGCATATTATCTGATCACAATGCAATGAAAGTGGAAATTAATGAAAAAAGAAACTACAAACCTCCCCTAAACATATAGAAATCAAATAACACCCTCCTCAGCAAACAATGGGGTACAGATGAAATTAAACAAGAAATTAAATAAATCTACAATCCATTGAAAATTCAAGCACAACTTATTGGAGTGTGTGGGATGCAATGAAAACAGTTCTTAGAGGGAAATTTATAGCTGTGAACTCACATTAGGAAAACAGAACAGGACTACATAACCTAATGCTGCACCTTAAATGTCTAGAAAAGGAAGAGCAAGCCAAGCCCAAAGCCAAAGGCGGGAGAAAATCATAAAGATTAGAGCAGAAATTAATGCAATTGAGACAAAGAATTAATGAATCAAAAAGCTGGTTTTTGAAAGATTAAATAAAATTGATAAACCCCTAGCTATCCTTATCAAAAAGAGGAAATAAAAATTCAAATTCAAGCAATAAGGAATGAAAGGGGTGAAATTACTGCAGATTCTGTAGAAATTGAGAGAATCATCAATAGCTACTTTGAAAATCTTTACTATCACAGAATCAAAGGCACAGAAGAAATGCTCAGATTCCTAAATAGGTACAAATTACCAAAACTAAATCAAGAAGATATAAAAACTTTGAATAACCCAATATGAACCAATGAAATTGAAAATGTAATTAAAAAAAAAAAAAAACCCAAAACTTGTCACCAGAGAAAAGCTCTGCTCCTGATGGGTTCACAGCAGAATTCTACAAAAAATTTATAGAAGATAGAGGTTGGCCAGATAGTTCAGTGGATTAAAGCACCTGCTTAGGCAGACACAGGCATTGGAGTTTGATCCCCAGTGTGCCTTGGGGGGAGGCATGCTGAGACAGCAATTGAGCCTGGGTGTGGTGGTGCATACCTGTAATCCCTTGGGAGGCTGAAAACAGGAGGATCACTACAAGTGATCTGTGTAGTGAGACCCTGTAGACCCTGTTCTAAATAGATTTTTTTTAAAGAAAATTATAGAAGATACAATTCCAATACTCCTCAAACTCTTCAATGAAATTAAAAAGGAAGCAATAGTCCCAAAATCTTTCATGGAA